CCGTGCCCAGCCAAAAATTAACACAGAATTAATTGTACCTCCAACTTTCTTATTATATGCACCAAAAGTTATAATTTTTCAATTGCTTAATGTTTACATCAAATCATTTGATTGTACATGGAAACAACTAGGTCACTATTATTCAGCATGACAAGGAAGAAACCAGAGTAAAACTAAACAAAGATTCTACATCTACACTGAAGGAGTGCTTGCTGGGTTTAAAAAAAAAAAAAAAAAAAAAAAAAAAAACAGAAAAATGGGAGTAGGTAAGGGTCAGGGGGAGATAAAGTGTGGAACCAGAGACCAGGGTTCTAACCGCTGCTCTGCCACACACTAGCATCAAATCATTTAGAATGCTAAGCCTTCATTCCCGATATGCTAAATAAATTTAAAAAAAAAAAAAAAAGGTAGTAATAATGCCTATTTCAGAAGTGGGAGTGGAGATTAATGACAACTGTAAATTGTCTGACTAGCAGAGTGTATCTTCTCAATAAACGTTAATTTCCTTTCTTTGTCCCCAGTTTTCTGCATACAGTCACTGAACGAAAGGCCCGGCTTTCTGCATATAGTCACTGAACGAAATACAAACCACGAGAACATATTCGACAATCTATCAAAGAGGTTTTGTTGTGTTTTTATTAACCCTAGTGTGGTTAGGTATACTTGATAATCCATTAGTTTTTATTGAACATTAGACAGTCATCTTAAACAGAATTCAAAACTCTGTACACAGAAGCTGCATGGTAAAGAAAACTGTAGTAAGGGTCTTTTGAAAAAACTGCTTTAAAAAATAATTATCTGTAATACTGTTACAGCACACTACGGAACAAAAAAAACAAGGTATATCATACCACTCAAAATCCTTCAATGGCTTTCCCTCTCTCTAGGATAAAAGCCCAATACCCTTACAGTGCCGACCCATGCCTATCCCCACTCCTTACCACCTAGGCCTTATCTGCTCTAATGATCCCCTGTATATACACATGTACACACGTACACACACACACTGCTCCAGCCACACTGGTCTCACTGTTCCTCAAGATTTCTACCATATTTCTTCATGGTTTATTCCCTCATTCCCTAGTCTGCTCAAAATGGTCTCACCGGTGATACAGATACTTAGTAACCCTACTTCCATCAATGCCCTAGCACCCCCAATCCCCTTCCCTAACACTGTTTTCTCCCACAGTACTTAACACCTTCTAACACAGTAAAGAAAACTATATACCATGTTTATTATTTATGTCTCCCTACTAAAAGGTAACCCTCACCAGAGTGAGAATTTTTGTCTCTTCTGTGATACATACATCCCTCCAGTGCCTAACACTGTGTCTGGCACACAGATGTATAACAATCATTGAAAAGAATTGATACTCTCGTTTAATTTACTTGTAGATATGCAAAGAATGTGCAACAAGCTATGAAAAGACAACCTTGAATAAATCTACATCCATTTGAATTTACAAATTCTAGTATTTGTTGACAATATAATCTTAATTTCAAAGTTCATATATTTTTAAAGCCATTGAAAACATAGGCATTAACATCACTGATCGCCCATTAATATGAATTGTGTTACTTAACATATTCATTAATAACACGTGGTTTCCTCTAAGTGATCAATATGATTTAATTTCAAATGTAATTTTCTGGATTTCATGAGTAAACAGATTTATATATACCACAAATACTGGGGGAAATGGTAGACGAGGAGAAAATAGTTTCAGTTCTGCAACCAACAATCCTGCAAACCTGAACCTCAAAACCTCCTTGATCCTCAATTTCTTCTTGTGTAAAAATGGGGAGGAGTAAATTAGATGATCTCAGTCTATGTCAGATCTAAAAATTCTATGATGCTATGAGTCTAGAAAACCATTAGAATCACAAAATGTCTATGCTGGATGACACTTTAGAAATCATCCAGTCCAATCCTGCCATCTTATAAATAAAACCACCCACACGTTTTGAACACTTTTTAAAAATATGTTCTAGGCTGGGCACAGTGGCTCACACCTGTAATCCTAGCACTTTGGGAGGCCGAGGTAGGTGGCTCACCTGAAGTCAAGAGTTCGAGACCAGCCTGGTCAACATAGTGAAACCTCGTCTCTACTAAAAATACAAAAATTAACCGGGTATGTTGGCGGACGCCTGCAATCCCGGCTACTTGGGAGGCTTAGGCTGGAGAATCGCTTGAACCCAGAAGGCGCAGGTTGCAGTGAGCCAAGATTGCACCATTGCACTCCAGCCTGGGCAACAGAGTAAAAACTCCATCTCAAAAAAAAAAAAAAGTTCCAAAGTAACAGAATATTATCTAGTTTTGGAGTCATTTACAGGGGGGGAGGGAATAAGTTAACAGAACAACTTTTTTACTTATACAAAATATTTCAAATATCCCATCATTTAAGTTTGCTCTAGAACTGACAATAACGTACTCTAGAAATGGGCTGCAGCTACAGACACCAAAAAACTCACAGCCCAAAAACTGTATAAAGAAACAATTATATGTAAGATAAGTTTATAATGAAACAACTTCTTAACTATAAAGTTCTTACTGCCTAACTTCTATTAGGGCCAGTGGTGAGTCTCTTTCTTCTTATATTTTTTAAGAGACAAGGTCTGTTAGCCAGGTTGGAGAGGTGCAGTGGCAGGGCTCACAGCAACCTCAATCTCCCAGCTCAAGTAATCCTCCCACCTCATCCTCTGGAGTAGCTGCAACCACAGGCTAGCACCAGTATGCTTGGCTAATATTATTTTTTTTCCCCTTGGGATGGAGTCTCACTATGTTGCCCAGGCTGGTCTCAAACTCCTAGGCTCTCAAGCAATTCTCCCGCTTCGGTGACCCAGGGTGCTGGGATTACAGGCATGAGCCACCGTGCCCTGCCCCCATGGTGAGTTTCTAAACCAGAGAATATCACAATTCTCATGACATAAACTGAGTTCAGCCACAGGATATGTTTTTAATTAATATCTTGTCACCAATGGTAGAATTACATGGGTTATAGCTAAGTTTCAAAAGTAGCTAATTTTAATATTAACCAAAAGAATAGCAGCTTACAAGCTGAACTCTCCTATGAACCACTTGAATCCTGAATTCCTGAACAGGTGATGACTCCAGATCTAGGGGATGATGCGGATCTGGAACCATCCTGAAGAGCACACATTTCAGCTGTGGCTGAGTGCTTCCCAGGGAATTAATGTCATTACTTCGAGCTTACTATACTCATCTAAATGCTAAGAGTCTGGAAACTTCAGGAGTAATGTCTGCGACCATGTAAATACTTAAGAAACTAGAAACTGTTCAGACTGCCTGGTGGATCTCTGAACACTGTAATACTAATCCATACATTAACCTGCACTTTACAGGGAAGTTTTCTTACAAATTCAAACTGTAAATTCCTACACAACTTGCCACAGAACATAAATGTTAAATATGTGGCAGACTAAACCATATATCCATACATGACAACAAAATACTGCCAAGCTGGAGGATGGGACTAGAAGTGTCGTTCAGCAAAAATAAGACCAACTAAAAACAAAGACACTGGGGCATTCCCTTAACACAGGCCCGCACACACACCCTCCTCAAAGAGGCCTTTATGTTCCCCATGAGCAAAAGGACAACAATATCATTTTTACTATTCATACAGTAACCTGCACGGAATTCAACTCACGCTCAGACTGTACAATGCCAAACAGCGCTTCTGAAACACGAAGAGCTTCCAGCAGAGTCAGGTACTTAATTACCAAAGTAAACAACTCGACCACAAGGGTCTGCAAGCCAAGGACTTTCTTTCCCCCCCGCCCCCAAACAAAAAAGGAGAGTAACTTGACAAACTGTTTTAAAAAAAAAAAAAAATCACAAATGGCCCTTAACTACTATAATAAAGCAATTACTCCTCCCACCCCCAAGCAAATAAAATAGGTGCTCGAAAGGGCGCTCGCTAGTCTGTGTTCCCTAATTTTATGAAATGAGAACAGGTTGCACTTCCGTACCCCCTCCCCCAAGCTCAGCAGTCTCCCATGTTTTCAGTAGAGAGGTAAATATAACCTCCACCAACTGGCCGGGGAAACTCTCCTTCTCCAAAAGCATGGGACGCCTCGAGAGGTGATGGAGAAAGGAAAAGGGCTGATACCCCGCCCCAAGCAAAACTGCCTGGGAGACTTGCGGGGTACTGGAGCCGGGAGCGGAGGAGGGAGAGGCGCGCCGGGAAAGTCTTTCCTTCTCCCCGGCCGGGCGAAGAGGGAAGCCCCGGCTTCGGGGCGGGGGGAGGCTACTCACCCGGAACCCCAGACCCCAGTCCCAGGCCAGACACAATGGAGCCGGCAGAGGGGCAGGGGCAGGGCCGTTGCCCCATCCCCTCCCCCCGCCCCAACGCCTCCCCCACCCGTGCCGGGCCCCGAAGAGAAGCACCGGGGCCGCTCCCCGCGCCCCAAACTCCCCGGGGCTCCCGACTAGGCCCGGCTCCGCTCCGCCTCCTCGGCTCTCGCGTAGCGGCGGCGCCCGGGCGGGAAGGGGCGAAGGAGGAAGGGAGAGGCAGGCAGGAGAGCCCCCGCCTGGGAGCGGGACGGAGGCCGCGGGCCGAGGCTCGGGGCTGCAGGGTCACCGCGGGGCGGAGGGCGGCCGGGGCGAGGGTGCGCGGCAGCGCCGGCCCCCAGCCGGCAGGGCGGGCGGGCGGCCGCAGTGCCTCACCATGTTGGTGTCCTCCAGGCCTCTCCCCTCCTCCTCCGGCTCCGCAGCGAATGGACGGCGGCGGCGGCGGCGGCTCCTCTCACGGGCTTGCCGGGCTCCCGCTCATGCGCAGTGCGGGGCGGCCCGGCGCGGCCCGAGGAGGCAGCCCCGGGCCTCGGGGAGGCGGAGGGACGGAGGCGGGCGGAGGGCACCCCGCGCGGGGCTTCCCCCGGGCGCGGGGGTCCCCCGGGGCGGGGGCGGGGGGCGCGGCGGGGGAGGGGCGGGCGACGCAAGCCCTCCGCGCGCCGACATCCTCCTGCCGCGCCGGGCGGTCTCTAGTGGGGGCGCCGGGGGACACCCCACCTCCGTTTCCTACGCGGTTCCTTCCGGACGGTCACGGCCGGGTCTACGCGGGCTGGAAGCGGGGACGAGCGGCGGCCGATAAGTTGAGCGGCTGGGGGCGGCTGAAACGGATGGTTGAGGAGCTTCATCCATCCCAGACCTCCCCTCCCCATCAGTACCAAAAAAAGAGAGAAGATAGTGGAAACACCTACCCCCGCCCCGTGTTTTCTTCTTTTTCCCCCCCATCTCAGTATCATACTTAGATCCGTTCCCTCGCGTGGGCATCCCAGGGGAGACCTTAGTCCAGCCCTGCGGTAGCTGTCACTCTGTTAGTGAGGCCCAGGCTCTCCCCAGACCTGTGTCAGCTGGGAGACAGTGGGGCAACCCTAGAGTGGGATGGGGTGGGGTGCACTGGGACCCAAGGCCCGGCTGCGGGAGTCCAGGTGGCCTGCCTACTGCTAGCTCTCAGTATCCCCTCAGTTCGGCCTGTCCAGGGTGAGATTCGGGAAGCAACTACACATTTTTTCACTGAGGGTCGAGTCAGGCAGGGCGGACAGTCCAGGTGTGACCTGCCCTGGGCGCTAAGTCGGCCGAGGCTGAGGAGCACTAGGATTCTGAGCTGAGGATCAAGTGGACAAATTCGTGCTGCAAGTGGACAGAAGACTCCTGTGGAGTGAGTGGTCCTTACCCTTCAGAAATGTAGTATCCAATTGGAGAGGTAAGACACATTCACACAGGAAGGAAATAAAACAGCTAAGAAAGCAAACCCACTCAGAAAATCACATCTGAAACTGGACCAAGAGCTTACCTATGTTTCAGAGCAAGACCCACCTGAGTAGACCCGTTATCACCATCATCACCAGCACAGGCATTAAAAGACCAGATCAACCCTATAACTAACGAATTTGTTCTCATCAAAACAACAGAACTTCTGTAGTAACTCCCAAAGGCCTCCTGAATTTCTGGAGCTAGCCATGTACTGGGAGCTCCCACCGCTTGTACCAAGGCAGGTTTCTGGCCGCCACAAACCATTCATCCATTCTTTCCCCCAATATTTAATGGGTGCATGTGAATGTGCCAAGCTCCTTGCTGGGCTCTGAGTAAACAGTCCTGCAGGGACAAGCCAGATCTGCCTCATGCAGCAAGCCTGAAACTGGACTATGTCCGCGGATGTTCTCCATGATTACCTAGCTTTTGACCTAAAGTATTAACATAACACCTAGGGTGTTAATGAAGAGGATTCATGTGTCTCTTGCTCCACTCTGTTCTACTCCATTGAAATAATCGTTTGTGAGTTTTCCTAAGCTCTACCAAGGTACAGGCCTTAGTTATTCTAATTGACCTCTCACCTGCATTTGAACACTTCCTCCTTGAATTTCCTGTTCATTTTCCATGACTCCACCTTCTCCTGCATCTCCTCTTTGCTCTGTGACCACTCTCCTTTGCTGGCTGTACTCTCTTTGGGCTTTCCTGACCATTCCTGAACATCCTTCTGTATACAACCTGTGTCACGCTGTCACGTTCCCACGATGTCAAGTACTGCCCATATCCAGAGGAATCCCAAATCTTGACTTCCAGTCCCCAAGTGGCAGGCCTAAACACTCATTCTGGTCATTCCACAGGTCCATCAAGCTCACCAAATCTAAAACCTTATCCCCAAACCCACTTTTCCTCCTGGCTTTTCATCAAATCATCCAAACTAGAAATCTAAGAGTCATCCACCACTCTTCCTGCCTCATCCCCTTACTCCACATCTCATCAATTTTCCCTCCTAAATGACTTTTAAATCTGCACCCTACTATTTCTTAGCCAATTCTTTTTGTTGTTGTTTGACATGGAGTCTAGCTCTGTCACCCAGGCTGGAGTACAATGGTGTAATCTTGGCTCACTGCAACCTCCGCCTCCCAGGTTCAAGCAGTTCTCCTGCCTCAGCCTCCTGAGTAGCTGGGATTACAGGTGCGTGCCACCACATCCAGCTAATTTTTGCATATTTAGTAGAGACAGGGTTTCACCATGTCTGTCAGGCTGGTCTCGAACTCCTGACCTCATGATCTGCCCACCTCAGTCTCCCAAAGTACTGAGATTTTTCTTTATCATCTCTCCTCATCTTATCAATAACTTCTTAGCTAATGTTCCAGCCTCTACTTCTCCACTGCTCCATGGTTGTCTTTCTATAATGCAAATTTGAATTTGTCCTTAAAATTCTCCAAGGGCTGCATAAGCATAAGCCTCTTTGGCATGGCATTGAAGTTCTCTCTAATCTATCTGCTCCCATTGCCATTTTCCACCACCCTCCACCCAAATGCACCTTATATTTCAGTTCTCACAAACCAAGACTGCCATACCTCTGCATGTTTCCTTGCTTTCTCCGATTCTCCTATCCCTGGCTTCCTAGCTAATACTGACTGAGGGCTTTCCATGTGTCTGATACATGGAAAGCCCATGACACATACTAATTTATGTAATCCTCACTGCGACACATACTAACTCATATAATTCTCACTTCTACCCTATGAGCATGCCCAGTTATTATGCCCATCCTACAAAGGGGAAAATGGAAGCACAGAGAGATTCAACAATATGCCTAAGATTCCCTAGCTAGGCCAGGCGCAGTGGCTCATGCCTGTAATCCCAGCACTTTGGGAGGCCAAGGCGGGCAGATAAGTTCAGGAGTTCAAGACCAGCATGGCCAACATGGCGAAACCCCGTCTCTACTAAAAGTACAAAAATTAACCGGGCATGGTTATGCATGCCTGTAATTCCAGCTACTCAGGAGGCTGAGGCAGGAGAATTGTTTGAACCCTGGAGGCGGAGGTTGTAATGAGCTGAGATCGCGCCACTGCACTCCAGCCTGGGCAACAAGAGTGAGACTCCGCCTCAAAGAAAAAAAAAAAAAATAGATTCCATAATTAGCAAGTAGTAGAGCTGGGATTTGAAATCCCGGAGTCTGGCTACAGAGTCTGTTCTCTTGACTGCCACATTATATTTCCCACCAAGATGTCAGTACTCAACTCAAAGACCATCTTCTCTATGATTGTCTCCTGACCTGATCCTTGGATTCCAGCAGTTAGGCAAGTTTCTCTCCCTGCATTTCTCTTGACACCTTACATGTACTTCTGTTATACTTATGATATCATATGATAAGCATTTGCCTACATGACCATCTCCCCTGCCGGACTGCACTGCTTAAGGTCAGAGGCCTGGTTGCACAATTCTTTGGGTTTTCAGTGTCAAAGTGAGTGCCCGACATATATGTGCTGCATAGTCAGAGTGGGATAAATTAATGAAAAGAAAGAGTTATGTAACATGTCTGTCTTAAGACAGTGCCTATATTGTTTGTTATTGTAAAGGAATGCTTGTCCTCCTTGGCAGATGTATGTTATACCATATGGTCAGATGGTAAATGTAGTAGCAACTGTATCCATTACTGTACTTCCTGGCTCAGTACTGAATATGAAATGGAGAATTATTACTCAATCGTCGTGATTGGGTGAGATAAACATATTTGTTAAAATTGTCCTGATTATTTTTTAAGTGGAAAAGCATCCTGAAGATAAAGCATAAATTACAATATTTAACAAAATAATATTAACTAATATGCTCATATTACTTGTTTGTCATGTTTCAGATATTTAAATTAAGGCTTTGAGTTTTTTCAAGTACAGGAGTTCTAATGACTTTTCCATAGTAACAATCTCAGTACAATAATAAGAAATAAGATGGAAACATCTAGCCAAAATTGACTATCTTGTCTCTCTATCTCTCCTCTTCTCTCTACCCCCTCCCACCCCCAACACATACACACACACGCCCTCTCACTGTATACCTAGAACGATGAAAAAATTAATACAGCACTCATAAATATGTAAATACTTGTTGCCACAGAAGCTTAAAATTTCATATTAAGACATAATATTCACTGATAAAATAGTTGCAGTTCTGCTCAAGGAAACATGTAAAAGTGAGGATTTCATACTTCTAGAATCTGTCTTTAGCAGAAAGAGCAGAAGTAATCTGAAAAGACAGATTGCTAACATTTCTGGTAGTTCATCTAGCTAAAATTAAGCCTGCAGGGTGACTATACACAGACACAGTTCAAAGCCACTAGTCTGAGATACACAGCCACCACCCTCCCACACTTAACTTGGGTGCTCTCAATTTTGCCCAACATTTACACTAATGTCCTTATTGGATTCAAGCTTGCTGATTTATAAATACCTAAGGGTAAATGCGATTGACTGATGGAGCCTATTTTGTTTTCAGTAAAACATGGCATTTAGATCTTATGAATTCAGAATTATAACCATGTTTTAAAGGGTAAAGCAGACAGGATTAGGCCTCAGTCAGAGTGGGCCCTAGTGAAGCCACAGGAAGTCTAACATGAAAGCCGCGGTTTCAAAGCTCATACCAAACTTATCAGTGGAGGCTAGAAGCAGAAGAACCTTTTGGCTCACCCGCCAGTGTTACTGGTGATGCCAAAGGAATGACTGCATGAGCCTCTTTCCTCCATGTTAAGAACCATTCTAAGGCCAGACGCGGTGGCTCACACCTGTAATCCCAGCACTTTCGGAGGCCGAGGTGGGCGGATCACCTGAGGTCGGGAGTTCGAGACCAGCCTGACCAACATGGAGAAACCCAGTCTCTACTAAAAATACAAATTTAGCTGGGTATGGTGGCACATGCCTGTAATCCCAGCTACTTGGGAGGCTGAGGCAGGAGAATCGCTTGAACACGGGAGGCAGAGGTTGCAGTGAGCCAAGATTGCGCCATTGCACTTCAGCCTGGTCAACAAGAGCAAAACTTTGTCTCAGAAAATAAAAAATAAAATTAAAAGTAGGCCGGGCGCGGTGGCTCAAGCCTGTAATCCCAGCACTTTGGGAGGCCGAGACGGGCGGATCACGAGGTCAGGAGATCGAGACCATCCTGGCTAATACGGTGAAACCCTGTCTCTACTAAAAAATACAAAAAAAAAACTAGCCGGGCGAGGTGGCGGGCGCCTATAGTCCCAGCTACTCAGGAGGCTGAGGCAGGAGAATGGTGTAAACCCAGGAGGCGGAGGTTGCAGTGAGCTGAGATCCGGCCACTGCACTCCAGCCTGGGTGACAGAGCGAGACTCCGTCTCAAAAAAAAAAAAAAAAAAATTAAAAGTAAATAAATAAGAACCATTATAAAAGGGATTCTTAATCAGGATGAAGGGGTACACCTCAGGAACTGCCCCTAGGAAATTGGGCACCATTACTCCTTTCATACAAAAGAACCAACAAAAGCAGTATTTCAGTGGGTCAACTTCTAAATAGGAAAATGGGAATATTCACCAGAGCCAGTCTGTCGCCTCAAGGTACATGTGGATCTGTGGATTTTAACTCCTCCACCCTCATGGTAGAGGCATGGGCTTACAGTAACAGCTAGGACTGGAGACCCAGCAATGAGAAACTGTCCAAGACCACCAATGATGATGTCACAATGTCCCACTGTCCCAGAGCGTCTACCCTGGACCTCCCTGCCCCAGCTTGGCCACTCCTAGATGAGACCAAGGCTCAGCCTGGGGTGTTTGTCCTTGACAGCTCCAGTCAGTTGCAGAGAATGAATTCATTGAAACCATAATGAGTGAAACAGTTCCACAGGTAGCAAGCTAGAGGGTCCTCTAGAATCCTGGACATTTGTCCCTGGATACTTTTGGAAATCCTCACTGAGACATTTTCCACCGATGATGACAGAGGGATGGTGGTATTGAATCACCCCCCGCTTTCCTGTCTATTCCATGGATAGTATATAAAGCATGAACATATCTCTGAGCCTCAGCATTCTCAATTACAAAATGAGATGGAGTTGAATTACAATAAATTTCCGTCAAACCGTAACTTTGTTTGATTCCTTCCTGGTAGACTATTGTGAGCTGCCCTCAAAGATCAGAAAAGTATAGCCAGTTGCATTTTTTCACTCATTCATTCACTATAAATATATGAAGTGCTGAGACCAGCACTGTCTGACAAATATGACGTAAGCCACAAATACCGGGCAAATAAGAAAGTTTACCTTTCCTTGTAGTGTCATTTTACAAAGTGAGGAGCATCCTGATTGCTGAACACGTGGAGGTGCCTGCAGAGCGTCACCCTGGAGAGAGCATGAAAGCTCTGCACCTTCTCCCACAACGCCTTGCCCTGTGCTTCTCTTCATCTAAATTGTCTTCTGTATCCTTTATTATGTACTTTAAATAAACTAGCAAATGGGCCGGGCGCAGTGGCTCACGCCTGTAATCCCAGCACTTTGGGAGGCCGAGGCTGGTGGATCACCCGAGGTCAGGAGTTTGAGACCAGCCTGGCCAACATGGCAAAATGCTGTCTCTACTAAAAATATACAAATGAGGCAGGCATGGTGGCGGGTGCCTATAATCCCAGCTACTCAGGAGGCTGAGGCAAAAGAATTGCTTGAACCCGGAGGGTGGAGGTTGCAGTGAGCCGAGATCATGCCAATTCGCTCCAGCCTGGGTGAAAGAGCGAAACTTGGTTTCAAAAAAATAAATAAATAAACTAGCAAATGTAAAATAAATGTAAAAAGAAACAACAGGCTTCACCTGTTTTGTTTCTAGCATCTCTCTTTTTTTTTTTTTTAATTTTTTTAATATTTGAGACAGTGTCTCTCTCTGTTGCCCAGGCTGGAGTGCAGTGGTTCGGTCTCAGCTCACTGCAACCTCTGCCTCTCAGGTTCAAGTGATTCTCCCGCCTCAGTCTCCCAAGTAGCTGGGATTACAGGTGCCCACCAACACGCCCGGCTAATTTCTGTATTCTTAGTAGAGAAGGAGTTTCGCCACGTTGGCCAGGCTGTTCTCGAACTCCTGACCTCAAGTGATCTGTCCACCTTGGCCTCCCAAAGTGCTGGGATTACAAGCATGAGCCACTGCACCCGGCCTGTTTATAGCATCTTATTTGACCCAAGATGTCCAAAATATCAGCATTTCAACATGTGCTTAATATAAAATATCAATGACATATATTCTTTTTGCAAGTATGTCTTTGAAATTTGATGTGTATATTATTATGCCTGACGTATATCTTAATTTGGACGAGCCATATTTCAAGTGTTGCCTCAGTTGGTAGTGGCTACCATATTGACCAGCATGTGCCTCAGCAGTGGCTGTGCTGGAGTAGATGCTCAACAATTGAGAGTAATAAGTACTCTTAACTTCAAGAAATAAGTGAAAACCGAAACAAACCTGAAATATTTATATATAACCAAGAGTAAGCACAGAAATATTTAGTATTTGGAAAGTTAGCATAGTTCAACTGCAAAAAAGCATGTGGTAAGGGGAAATAATAATTATTCTTAAAAAATAAATATCTCTTGGATGAATGTTTTCAGTGTAGATAGCAAACTAGGAAAACCACATACACATTTATAAAATCTTCCAAGCACCTATAATTTGCTTGACCCTGAGCATGTCATCCTGTTCAATGTGGTTTCTGCACAGGGATTTTTCAATCAAAATAAGACATATGAAACTCAGAAACACATTTCACAAGCACTTTAGAGTTTCGAGGTGTTTTTTGTGGGGCTATACAGTAAATAAATGTCATTTTCTCCATTGCCTTCGTGATATGTCACACTTTTAAAAGAAATTATTTGGGCTGGATGAAGAGAGAAGAGTTTGGAGAAAGGGAAGGTTTTTGTACAAATATAATAAAACCAAAAAAGGTTAGTATCAGGGTCAGGTTAGCCTATAGCACTGTGAAAGAGAATTAAAAAAAAAAAAGAAAACAATAAAAATAACACAATGCTAATATTGTGAGATGAGCATTCGGAGAATGTATGCACCAAAAGAAATCAATGAAGGGGCCGGGCATGGTGGCTCAAGCCTGTAATCTCGGCACTTTGGGAGGCCGAGGCGGGTGGATCATGAGGTCAGGAGTTCGAGACCAGCCTGGACAACATAGTGAAACACCATCTCTACTAGAAATAAAAATTTAAAACAATTAGCTGGGTGTGATGGCAGGCACCTGTAATCCCAGCTACTTGGGAGGCTGAGGCAGGAGAATTGCTTGAACCTGGGAGGGAGAGGTTGCAGTGAGCCGAGATCACGCCACTGCACTCCAGCCTGGGCAACGGTGTGAGACTCTGTCTCAAAAAAAAAAAAAGAAATCAATGAGAGAACCTAAAGGTCACACACACACACACACACACACACACAAACGCACAAATAAAGGTGCAGCCCAAACAGCTTAATCTGTTGTGGGAGAGAGAGACTCCTTCAGGACATTTGAGCAGGGAGATGACAGGGCAAAGGTCTTTAGAGATCAAATGTGGCCCAGCGCGGTGGCTCACGCCTGTAATCCTAGCACTTCGGGACGCCAAGGCGGGTGGATGAAGAGGTCAGGAGTTCGAGACCAGCCTGACCAACATGGTGAAACCCCATCTCTACTAAAAATACAAAAATTAACTGGGCATGGTGGTGCACGCCTGTAATCCCAGCTACTCAGGACGCTGAAGCAGGAGAATCACCTGAACCCTGGAGGCAGAGGTTGCAGTGAGCTGAAACTACGCCACTGCACTCCAGCCTGAGCAACAGAGCAAGACTCCATCTCAAAAAAAAAAAAAAAAAAAATAGAGAGAATAGAGATCAAATGTAACATAGCAGCTCTTAATTGACCAAAGGTATAAAAGAGAGGAAAATGCTGTGGCCACAGATCACCACATTGAAGCAAAATAATTTTGTGGACAGCCTGGCCACAGAAGGGAGATGCAGGGGATGGGAGCTGAGGAGAGAGGAGGAGGCAGAAAGGTCCATGTCAAGCCTGCCAGGGTGAGCTCTGGGGAGGTGTTGGTGACAGCACAATAGGCAGATCAGGTCTAGCTGGAAAGAACTGCCACCACGTGGGAAGGGTTAAGAGAGAGGAAGGGATTATTTTCATTCTTGATCAATAGGATACAGCCCTACAGAGTAACAGCATAGCTGTGAAATGTGTAAGAGAATCCCTCGCTCAGTCTGTGCAAGTGTGGTGGAGCAACATACCTTGGGTGAAGTCTATGGCACAGAGCCCAGCTTCCTAGTTCACCACCAATGAGCCAGCTGTTTTATTGGGTTGGTTGTTTTTGTGCCTGAGAAGGATCTACAGGTTGATCCCAATCCTTCAGATGGATGATTTTTTTTTTTTTCTTTTTTTAAGACGAAGTCTCACTCTGTCGCCCAGACTGGAGAGCAGTGGCGCAATCTCGGCTCACTGCAAGTTCCGCCTCCCGGGTTCACGCCATTCTCCTGCCTCAGCCTCCCGAGTGAGTAGCTGGGACTACAGGCGCCCGCCACCGCGCCCGGCTAATTTTTTGTATTTTTAATAGAGATAGGGTTTCACCGTGTTAGCCAGGATGGTCTTGATCTCCTGACGTGATCCGCCCACCTCGGCCTCCCAAAGTGCTGGGATTACAGGCGTGAGCCACTGCGCCCAGCCGGATGATTTGACTTCATCAAAATTGGAAATTTTGCACTTTAAAAGACATCATTTAAAAAGTCAAATAACAGCTGGGCGCGGTGGCTCACGCTTGTAATCCCAGCACTTTGGGAGGCCGAGGCGGCAGGATTACAAGGTCGAGAGATTGAGACCATCCTGGCCAACATGGTGAAACTCGTCTCTATTAAAACTACAAAAATTAGCTGCGCGTGGTGGCAGATGCCTGTAGTCCTAGCTACTCGGGAGGCTGAAGCAGGAGACTCGCTTGAACCCGGGAGGCAGAGGTTGCAGTGAGCCGAGATCGCACCACTGCACTCCAGCCTGGACAACATAGTGAGATTCCGTCTAAAAAAAAAAAAAAGAGAGAGAGAGAGAGAGAAAAAAAACCAAGCCAGACAATGAATCATATAACTGATAAAGGACCTATATCCAGAATATGTTAAAGACTTTAAAAACTCAATAGTAAGACAAGAAATCCAATTTTATTTTATTTTATTCATTTTATTTTTAAAATTTCTTTTCCAAGCAATACTACAATGATTATTTTTAGTCATACATCCTGGAATGCCTGTGTGGATATATCTGTACAAAAAAACTCTTCAAGGCCGGGTGCAGTGGCTCACCCCTGTAATCCCAGCACTTTGGGAGGCCGAGGCAGGCGGATCACGAGGTCAGGAGATCAAGACCATCCTGGCTAACACGGTGAAACCCCGTCTCTACTAAAATACAAAAAAAATAGCTGGGCATGGTGGCAGGTGCCTGTGGTCCCAGCTACTCGGGAGGCTGAGGCAGGAGAATGGCGTAAACCCGCGAAGCGGAGGTTGGCCACTGCACTCCAGCCTGGGCAACAGCGAGAATCTGTCTCAAAAAAACAAACAACAACAACAAAAAACCTCTTTAGAGAGGAATGACTGAATTAAGGGATATTTTAACACATATTAATGCTTTACCAAATTGACCGTCAAAAAAGTTATGCCAATTTGTACTCCCATTACCAGTGTGTGTGATTGTACATTTCCTACAAATCTTGCCAAATCCATATTTTTGTAATCCCCTTTACTTATTGCCAATCTAATAGGTAAAAATAACAATATCCTGCTGTTTTAATTTACATTTTTAAAAATTTAGCTGTTGTGTTCAAGGGTATAGGTTTGTTATACAGGTAAACTTGTATCATGGATTGTTGGGTTTTTTTTTTTTTTTTTGGTGATTGTTGTTGTTGTTGTTGTTTTGAGATGGAGTCTGGCTCTGTCACCCAGGCTGGAGTGGAGTGGCAGGATCTCGGCTCACTGCAACCTGCGGGTCCCGGATTCAAGCAATTCTCCTGCCTCAGCCTCTCGAGTAGCTGGGATTACAAGTAGAGACAAGGTTTCACCATGTTGGCCAGGCTGGTCTCGAACTCCTGACCTCAGGTAATCTGCCTGCCTAAGCCTCCCAAAGTGCTGGGATTACAGGTGTGAGCCACCTCGCCACGGGGGCTTGTTGTACAGATAATTTAATCACCCAGGTACTAAGCCTAGTACCCATTTGTTATTTTTCCTGATCCTCTCCCTCCTCCAAGACTCCACTCTCTGATAGGGCCCAGTGTGTGCTGCTCACCTCCATGTGTCCATGTGTTCTCATCATTTAGCTCCCACTTATAAGTAAGAACATGGAGTATTTGGTTTTCTGTTCCTGTGTTAGTTTGCTAAGCATAATGGCCTCCAGCTGCATCCATGTTCCTGCAAAGGACATGATCTCATTTTTTTTTAACGGCTGCATAGTATTCCGTGGTATATATGTACCATGTTTTCTTT